AAAAACTGTCGAAAGGTTTGGAAAACCCGTTGGCATAGGTGTATTTGGGCCAAAGGGGATTGTTTTGAGGGGGACGACATAGATGGAAAAAGGCCTTAAGTTGCATCATCTTGGCTGCGAGTCAACAAACTTTGCACGCAACTTGYCCATTTTTTGACGTGAAACATAAAGTGATGTAATGTATTACTGGAAAWAGAGAACATGTTCGCGTCAATTTCATCAAACTCCGGGTAAATAAGTCGGTCATGCCTCATTTTATAGGAAATAAGGCATGATAATGCCGCCATGCCACAAACCTCATCAAACGCTCAATTATTGGAATCCAATTGCGTTTCCTTAACCACACGAAGACTTGCCTTACTCCAATAGTGGCAGTTTGGTTTATTGCCGCAACCATTAAGCCAGAAATGCGCCTGATCTGCGAAGTTGATTTTTCGAATTTAAGGATTTTCCGGCGAACGTGAATTTGCGTAATTATCATGGATAATTTCCGTGCATTATACCYAAGTGAGACGTGACATAATGAAATGTCAAACCCTACTGAACACACTGACAAAATTCGACAAAACAATATTTTTTGTCAAAGATATAGTAATATAAAGAATGTATAGTGGTAACCACTACACACTGCTTTACTTTTTAAAAATTACAAGCGGTTGTTGTTGTTGTAGCGGCACCAAACATTCATGAATTAACTTTGATGAATGGTGCCGAGCTGACATTACTTGACTGCATAAAAATCCGCGTTCGTTCTGGTTACTTAGACCCGACTATCGTTGGAACGGATCACAAGGAGTTCTAATTAACCGGTTCTGTCAGAATTSAGATCCTTCTTACTTTTTTCATAGTTAATACGAAAAATTTCATTCACCTAATGTTTGATTACTTATAATCACAGATTATGTAAAAACGCTTTACAAAATACTATTAAATAATGCGAATCAAGTCATTCTCTCGGGCTTCTCGTTAAATTGCTGGGTGTTGCTTTTACTGGAAATATTATTAAAACGTCATTATGAATGCGTTTAGCGTGAAAAGCGATCAATACGCAAGCCAATATAATTACATATAATTTTCTATGAAAGTCAATAACAATAACAAGCAAAACTTATAAAACTAATGGGCATAAAGGTCGTGATCGAACAGAGTACAACTTACATGAGGAAAACTGCTATACAAAGCAGGTATGTATTTAATGCGAAATGTAGATTGTAGCACCAAACCACCACACTGTGGCACTATGTGGCACCGCTCGGTTGTTGCTGTTGTCGAGTGATGTTTATGCGCCGATTTGAGCGCTGTTTTATGGGAGAGTTGAGCGAAGTTGCGAAAAGCGGTTTTGAGCGCGCGCACAGTTGCTTTGGACACTAAACTGTGTTTAGCAAAAAAAATATAATAAATGTTGTATGCTTTGTTGTTTTAAACAACTTGTTGCTTATTTGCTTGTTTTTGTGGAATTTAGAGCTTTTGGTGTTCAAGTAATTTGCCACATTTTGAAAGTAATGACACGATATGTGTGGCTTTCCAGATTTCACGAGGATACTGCAAGCTTATTTTGGCGTTTTGACACTGCACTGCGCAACTTTAAACACTTTACACTGTAAATCTGCGGCAAAAATTCGATTCTCGCTACCACAACACTTAAGTCACTTTATTTGTTTCGCTCAAAAATTATTTAAAGCCAGGCGTACATTGACGCGACGGCACTTCATACACGCAAATAACAAAGAAAGCGCTTTCAAATATTATTTTCGCCAATTCACACACCAAACCAATAACAGCGCGTGATTCACTCGCTCACTTGCCACACTAACGTTTAACGCCGATATCGTATAGCCACTGCAGAGTCGAATTTAGAGCTTCACCTCGAAGCAAACAACAAAGCGCTACACTTTTAAACCGACTTTTCGACTCTTTCCACTACATATTTACATACACATACATATGTATGTGATTGTTCGCCTTGACGTCAGACAAAAGCAGGGCTTTCCGAACTCCACGCCAAACGCCAATAACTACAGCAACAAGTTATAGTGAAGCCTCGAAGTTAAAAGCTGCGACGCCTTCACATCAAACGAAGTTGTAACTCGGTGAGTTCACAAGTGACTGGGCGCACAGCTTCAGCGCGCGATGCTCATGTGCTCGCACAATCCGAAAATGTATACAAATATGTGCATATGTATATATGTACGCATGTATGATATTATGTATGAATATTTATGAGCTTGGTTTGTGCCTGGAAAACTGAGTGACTTCGGTGTTAGTCTGGCCGCTGTGGTTTGTCCACTCATAAATAAATGACTGATTGACTTGCTCGCGCACGACGGGATTGACCGAGTGTCTAAATGGACAGAAGTGCCTGAATGGTATATGTATCTAAAATAGTGAGTTTTTAAGCGAAATACATATGCATAGCCACATAAATATGTTTGTATGTATACATATACGAGAGTCTGTAAATTTAATTTTTAGAATTTGGACCGAAAATTAGTTTGTCTGAGATATACTTTCTTACTCATATACAAACGCATCTAAGATGGCAAGATCAAAGGCAAGTGGACAGTAGGAAAATATAAATCACTAATGGTTGAGACCCAGTAGGAAAGTGTTGCATAATTTAAACTATTTGCACACCAAAGCAGTTTTTGGTCGACTGTCACGCCAACAGTGGGACTATCTAATCAAATTGTTCCTCTAATTAATTTGCATCTCTCCGGCTACTTGCACCAGTTAGACTACGTTATCCAAGTCACCTCGTTAGGCACTAATGGGTGCAAGCCACGCCCCTAGTAGAGGTAAATAAGGAGATTTATTAACTTGCATTTCAGCGGTTACTTGATCCAAATCATTTGTTTAGGAGGTTATGGCCGTCGATGGGTTACCGGTTTGAATAGTTAAGCGAGGTTTGGTCCATTGTCACTCTCCAAGAAAACTATCTACGCGATTTATACCTCTAATTGCCCTATGCAGCTACTTGAATTATATAGACTCCGTTATCCAAGCCACCTACTTTGGCACGAATAGCCCCCAAAGCGTGAGAGGTTTGCCCAGTAAAGCAATTTTTGGTCGATTGCCACTCTCCCTGTAGGAATTATCGAGGCGAATTTTGTATACTTTTCCTTTGAAAACTTGACAAAATCTTCCCAAAATATATATCTTTTCAATAATAAAAACCTTGAATAAAATATTTAATTTTTTATAAAAAAATGTTCAAGTTAGGCCTTTTTTTGCTGGACGAATGTATGTAACCCATTACCTGACCGTTTTATACATTTTCTAAGAAATGTATGGTATAATATGTTTCGAATTGGAACTAAATAAATATAATGGAAAAACTGCTAAGATATACATGGACGATTTGTTTCAATCCCAGTTCCAGCAAAACGGTCACTACTGTCACAAATGTTGGCAAAAGAAAGGCAAATCCAAAGGCAGAGATTCCTAATGAATAGAACACATTAAAAATAAAAGAAAATATTGTCGGAAGAAACAGAGATTGTAATTCGTTTTTTGCCAAACTCAAGGTATCAATGTTTTTATGGTTACTATTTTAGGTCTTCCTACAGGGCCTCAATCTCTATATACACTAAAAAACAGATAAGATAGTGTCTTTTGACAAAAATGAATTTCAAACAAAAAGACCCTGAAAGCCTGACATTGAAATAAACTCATATGGCAAGCGCTATCAATTAAGTACATGGACAAGAAGCGAGCAAATTTGCAGACGTTCTTTTCAAAAGTTTCGAACTAATCACAATGGAAGAAGAGCGACAAATATATTATGTAGACGATCGTAGCGCAATAAACAATATGTACATACCTATGACATATAAATATTTACGATATATATTTACGACACTAAAGTTTATAAAGGAGGCATTTTTATTATAGTGTGTGAGCGAACATATGTCTCTGCTTAGAAAGCGGCGATTTTGTAGCTTTGTTGATTAGATTACTTTTTTACGAGATTTTACTGTCAGCAAATTAAATGCCGCGTTCAAGTAAATTACGATTACGATCATTTACGATTTATTTCATGTTTTCGAAAGCCGACTTTAGCGTTGAACATTTGACGTCATCAGCTGAGCCCATGCCGATAATGCATCTAATCAAAATTATACATTCACTTACAACACTAGGATTTTTATATGCTATAGCAAAGTGACTAACATTTTCACAACCGATGTGCACAGCCTTAGTGTTGTTTGCGCCTTTTAGCGTGGTTTATCAGAGGGTTGGCAGCGCTAAAGCTCAATCACTGCATGCACTTAGTTAAAGCAATAAAATTATTTTATCATAGGTTGTATATCAATATAAATATGTGCATATATGTATATGTACATGCGTTTATACATATATGTACGTATGTATATTATATTTTTCTTAATTCCATCACAACAATAATTGGCGGCGAAAAATTAATTCTATACCGACTTCCGTGTTAGGAGACCATTCCCAGTCGGCTACAATCGCACATACTCGTCTTTATTTATTTTGATGAGTTTCAACAAACTTTTTCTCACACATAATTCATAAATCAACTTACTTTATTGCTTTACTTTAGATTTGTATTGCTTTTATGTCTGTTTTCGCGTACTTTTTGCACTGAAATTCGCCGGCTGGCGATAGCTTAGCAAAAGCATAAATACATACATACATTCATCTGTGTAAATAAATATAAAAAATAGCTTTGACAGTAGATGTCAAGTTGGAGCAGTGCTGTGGAGACAGCATTGCCAGCTGGAGTCTAGCTTTCAAATTTGAAATTTATAAAATGTTGATGTGGAATTGTATGAAAAAAAACTTAATAGTTAATTTCAAAATTTTTTTTTTTTAATTCAAGAACATAAAAAACTTTCAGATCAAATTTGCCCCGGATAGAAAAAAATTGTTATGTATTTCACGGCTGAATATAGATTAGATGGCACTTTTTGTGGAATTGATTAAATTAGATATGTGAATAAATAAAATTGATACTAAAGAAATATGTAAATCATTAAAAAAAAAAAAAATATTAAAAAAAAAGTTATTTAATTATTTTATAATTTATTTTAAAAGATGTGTATAAGAGACAGATTTTTAAATTTTTTAAAAATTTTTTTTGGCAGAAAGGTAGTGTTGTGAGAAAATGGCAAAATATTTATTATAATTTTCATAATTTCTCGTATTCAGTTCATGACAACAAAAACACATATTTCAATAGTAAGTGTAAAGTAAAAATTCATTAATTCTTGTCTTTTATAACTCACCGTATCGCGTTCTGTAGCTGATTAAAGACATATGACAGCCCAAATGAATCGCCTTGAAGGTTTGCTTTCCTTATGAGTAAGATTACGCTTTATAGCTTCACTATAAACTAAAAACTATAGCTTATATAAATGCTATATTGCTGACAATTATAAAAATTTTTATTACAAAGTTTGACATTAACTGTCCGCAAGCATTTTCTCCCGAAAATAAAATATCAAATTAAAAAAATTCGCAACACCAACAATTCAAAGTAACTAGTAGGGTCGCCACGGCGTATGAGTCACGCGCAATTAGGTACTAATTATAGGCAAATTTTACAAAATTTATATTTTCGTACGCACTTTATGGCACCAAGACAAGACTAACCAAAGATAGCATAAACGCTGACAATGCAGGCAGGTAGACACAAGATATGGAAAGTAAATTTGTAATCAGATATGAAATAGATAGCGGTTGTCATAGTATATGGCAACTACAATGGGAAAAAATTTATTAAAAGTAGATAAAAAAAAATATTTATAAAAAAATAATATACTTTCATAAATTTTTTTTTACAAATTAGTATTTTTTTTTTCAAAATTTTTTGTTTATCAAAAATTTATTTAAAAAAAATATGCGTTAATCAAAAAGAAAAAAAAACAATTGAAAATAAAATGAATAAAGAAATCGATAAAAATATTAGAAAAAAATTTAAAAATTATTTATTAATATTATTTAAAAAGTAACATTTTTCAATCAAAAATTTATAAAAAAAAATATTCTTTAATCAAAAATTGAAAAAAATTTAAATAAAATGCATAAATAAATTGCATGAAAACTGTGAAAAAATTTTTGCTCTCAATTTCACGACTATTTTGCTAAAAATAAAATAATATTTTGTATAAAATTTTAATACTTCACCAGAAAGTGAAGATTTTGAGAAATAAAAAAATAAATAAAGCCTAAATATGCATTAGAGGAACACTTTTTGTACTCACTGTATTTTCTTCTTCATTTGTACAAATATTTTTTTTTTTTTTTTTTTTTTTTTTTTTTGTTGAATGTGAAACTCATTCGTTATATTCGAAAATTCACTGTTTACTTTTATTTTATGCTTTCTCATTAAGTTTATGTATTACATTATTACATTTTTACGTTTTAATATTCTTCATAAGGGTTATTTAATTCATTTTACATTTTCATATGCGTAAAATATTTTAAATATTTATACTTTATATTAATATGCACGCTAATATTTAATATATACTTTTCCATTTTTTTTTTTTTGTTTTTGCTTGGTTTGATTTCATTTGTTTTACAACATTTTTTATTTCAAATATTTATGCGACGCATTAGTTAAAATATTAAAATTAACATTTAAAGATTAAAACAAAATTAACGGGTTATAAGTTGGCCTCGGAAAGAAACACTACACTACTACACATACGCACAAGTCTAAACACGATAGCAGCAGCATTTTGTAAGCGTTAAAAATATGATTTTTTTTTGTTTTTTCTTCTGCTTCTGCTTCTAAAAGCTTGCTATTAGACATTTAAATTGTGTTTAGCTTAATATTTCCTTGTTTTTGTTCCGTTACGCATAAGTTTGTGGCGCAGCGGCCGGCAGCGCGCAGCGGCAGCAATGCTTCTGTCATGAGGCATTACGAAATTAATTCAAACGCTTCAAATTTTAATTGTTTACAAGTTTAACTTGTGCTTGTCGCTTCTTTAAAAGGAAAACCTAACTTCGAAATGTTTGTCAAGCCAAAAGTGCACACATTTCCACAGTTGAGACCTAGCTACAATGCTGCTGCGCGTTTGGCCAGCTTGCTGATGATTGGCAAATTGTTTTTCCTGCGATTTTTGCTTTTCCTTATTTTTATTAATTGCTACAAATACCTGCTAAATATATTTACGTATGTATATGCAAGTGTTGTTTTTTTTTTTGTTTTTGTCGCTAATTCTTAATTTTCTCTTTGCTTTTGCAGTATATAAATATGCGAAAAATATGCACTAAAAAAACCTACAAATATTTATGTGTATTATGTTTTTGTTCTTTATAAATAATTATGACTATAATCAATAAGTTGTAAGTAAGTTTAACACTAGGCTAATATAATTTTGCTAAAAATAATGCTTAAATAGTGTAATTTTATACCAATACAGTCATGTGCAGTAAGCGTGCAGCGGCACTACCTCTTGGAATATTAACTAAAAAGCATAGCGGTAATAAAATTAGCAACAAAATTGTATAGCAGTAAGTGTATTAAACATTTTCTTAATATATTTATATTTTTAACAATTATTACTCAATACATATTTTTTAAACGGGGAAACAATGTTTTTGCTAAAATATTAAGTATATTAAAAACCGAAATGTTGTTTTGCATACTGCCAATAAGTAGCGCACAGACGGCCTTGAATGACACAAGACTGCATAAACAAATATTTATATGTTAATATACATATGCCTATATTATTACTAATTTAAATCAACACTAATAACGACTTTGTTTTTTGGCTAAAACTAATTAGAACGTTATATTTTTATATTTTATAAACTTTTTCGATTTTTTACTTCTTTTTTTCGCACCAACTTGCCTGCCGTCTTTTCAAGTATTTTTAATCGTCGGAAAACTATTTTCGAAAATACACAATTAATTTCGTATATGCAAAAAAGCTTTCGAAAATACCAAAGTACTTTCAAATATACACAATTTTTAAATGAATACATATATGATTTTTTTTTTGAATAAACAAATTTTTTTTTTCGAATATACAACAACTTTTTCGAATATACGATTTCGACTTTATACTACTTTTCTCG